CATAGACACAGAAAGATTAGCGTCTGCCAGTGTTGAGGGTTGGTGGAATGGGGAATAACTACTAATGATTTCTGACCTTTCTGTCAGCATTTTGTGTTTTGTACTCTGGAAGGTTCATGGAAGGTGTGAGGCTAGAATCTGTTTTCAATATTGAACACCAAGGCAAGAGAGATGAGCCCTACATTACTGAAGATAACGTGTTTCTTTTAATGTTCAGTAGGATGCGTTATTTTATGAGGGCTTTTAAAATTACTTATTACGGAAAGTCTGTGGGAAAATGGAATTAAAGGATGAGTCTACACTGGTACAGAAGTTTTGACATCCATTCATAGTTTTTTTATAGTACACATTTTAATGAACTTTTTGAAAACTTCTTGTGTATGTACAATTGCTACAAGTCTCTTTCTCTCTACATGCATATGTATATTTATTGAAGACTCCAAGCTTACAGACAGTTTAGCTGGTTCCCCTCCAAGATGTCACTTGTGGTGGTATCTACTTAAGGCAATTTGAAGGACTAGCCACTGTGATACCTCTTGTACACGGGTTAACAGGCTAGTTTTAAATCACTTTATTGGATAGCTCACTCCTCACTTGTTTCATTAAATGTAATTCTGAAAATGGCAGTCCTCACTCATTTCATTAAATGGAATTCTAGCGAATTACCAGCTGGTGGGGTTGCAGTTTTCAGCTTCAGCCAGAGCTAGTAACTTTTACATCTTCAGTTCTCTTCTGTTGGCCTCTAGCGTTGTTTCCTTCTTGCCACTTGAACTTAAATGATTAACCAGTCCACTATGAAATTCCCCCCCTAACCCATCCTAGTCCTTCCAAGCCCGTGAGAGCTTCCCTGCCCTTGATGGATCTTCCCTTTAATGAAGCCCTCTTGCTCTTTCTCCATGCCTTCCTAAATAACACAGACTGTTTTCTTTATCTTCCTTCCCTTTTTCTAAGACACATCTACACTCTCAACCAGTTGGAACAAAACAAAAATAAATAAAAACATAGAACCAAGTCAATACAAAGCCAGCAAAAAAGGCCACGGGCCACGGCTGGGCACTTGATGTTCAGTCTCGCCGTCCTTGAGAGACAGCAATGATAATTTTCATATTCAAAGAAATGTAGATGACAAAAAGAAAAAAAGAATATACCATATGTTGTGACAGTTTAATACCAACTAGCAGCATAGTATCCCAGTTCTTTATTTTGCTGTCTACCAATATTCTTAGAAACAGGAAAGGAAACAAACCTCTGCTTCTACAGAGTTGGTAATAGAATTTATTAAGTAATTTTGAGTTTCTTAAAATCTTGTTCACATGTTAATTGAAAGTTCATTTTCAGGATCCCAGGTGTTACTTCTTTGAGTTAATTCTTCTGTTTAATTGATGTAGAACTGTCGACACTAGGACATGGACATGACAAGCGTGGTGCTCTGAGCACACAAGGATGCCAGGGATCGAAGAGTCCTTAGGTAGCTTCAGGAACTTAGCCATCTTCTCATGGCTATAGTGGAGTGTGTGTTTGAGCTGTCTGACCTACTGCTGCAGCGAGCAGCCTGCTTTTTTGGGAACTGTGGTCACTAGTCTCTTTGAGCAATTGTACTCAGAATAAGGCAGGTGCCCTTTTTCTGGTGTATGCATTGCTGTCCCTTGGTGGTCCGGGCACACTGCCAGTAGCCAGTGCAACACCTCAGAGTGGTCCACCACACACAGTATACTTCCAGTAAAGCACTGTGTGGGACCAACTCCAAACTATTTCCAGAGTTCTTTTGGAAACATTGTTTCCTTCCTCTCTGACTTTGGATTTTATGCAGGTGTACTTAAATTTGGTCAAATGTGTTCTGGGAGAACTTTCTGTGTTGAAGATTTCAAGGTAGCTTGCTTTTTAAGGCAGTGAACACATCTGAAGAGCAGTCATCCTACATTTATCCAATTTGTAGGTCCAGATATTCTTCCCCAATAGATTTGCACAGGGGAATTTGGTTATAATTTGGTTATTTGATTAACAAATGCATTTTCTCTGTGAAGGGTGCTTTAAAAAATGCTACATGAAAGCATGTGGATTTAGACATTGCGACGATCAAATTTATAGTAATTTTCTATTTTATGTGGTAAAAAAACAGTGGCATTTCAAGATGGGTTATTGTGCATAAATATATAAGGGAGTTTAAAAATTATTAGAGTCTCTTATTTCTTTTATTTAAGTTATGGAGAACTGTCAGCACTAGGAAATGGGATTGAGAAGGACAATTCATTGTGTTCCTACTATTTGCCAGGTCCTGGAGGAAGGATTTTAGTATCAACTGCAGCTCAGTGTGGAGTTTAAACCTGTTGGTTCTAAGGTTGAACTATCCAAGTTTGAATCTTAGCTCTCCTGCCACTGCAATGATCCCATGAGATAAGGTGTGTAAAGCATCTAGCTCCATGCAGTTGTGGGGACTTGCTAGATATTACCTTCTTGTTATATTTTATTCCATTTAATACTATGATGTAGCCAATATCTTTTTTTTTTTTTTGTCATAGGGTATGTCCACCTGCCAGAGAGAGACAATGAGAGGGAAAGTGAGAACTCATTCCCCTGAGAGGATGGCGACACCACAATCCTTTCTCCTCCTGGAATTTCGGACACACACACACACACACACACACACACACACACACAGCACCTGATGCAACTTTCAAAGCTGCCAGGTCTGGAACTCAAATCATGGTCAGCCATATGGGAGTCCAGCACCTTAACCACGATGCCACCTGCTGGCCCTGACAATGTCTCTTTTTTATAGGTGAGGAGATAGTCAGAATGTGGTCCAGGAACTTGCATAAAGTTTTTCCAAGTGTGTTGCAGAGATGAAATTTAGAACTAGAGTGGGCACTCTGATAAAATATCTGAGTGGTAGTATTGGTTCTAGGTTGCCAGGAAGATCTGTGCTGAGATTATTCTATGATGGGAAAGCCCGTACCACCTAGAATAATGCTCTCTACTGAGAAACAAAGCTGCCCTTACAGATAGCAATTTCACAACTAACCATTTCTAAGTTAAGAAAATATGTTCAAAGGGCCAGTTTTCACAGTCAATAATTTCTTTTTCTTTCTTCTTTCTCTCTCTCTCTCTTTCTTTCTTTCTTTTCTTTTCTTTTCTTTTTCTTTTTCTTTTTTTGGAGAGGTTTTTGCTATAGGGTACATGCACGAGCCAGAAAGACAGAGACAGAAAGCAAGAAATCACCCCCCGGGGGGGATGGCCACACCACAATCCCTTCTCCTCCATTCTCCTCTTGGAATCTTGGGCACGCATGCACATGTGCCCGGCCTGAGTTTAAGCCACTGGGTCTGGGACTCAAACTGTAGTCAACTACGTGGGAGTCCAGCAACATAGCCATTACACCAACTGCTGGTCCCTGCAGTCAATGATTTCTTAAAGTTGTTTGGCTTTTTTTTTTTTTTTTCAGTATATAGCAAACTCTCAGCTATATGGATTGCTGTTCAAAATCTGTGCAGGATTTATGAAACATACCAAGTGCACCGTCCTACTGTACATCTGCTGTGTAAATGTCATCATCTGTGTAATTATCAACTTCTAATGCCAGCTTAAGGAAACTGTAGAGATGATGTTCCTTTAGCAACCCACAGGCAAACCTCCAGGGTAGTTTTTGTTTGTTTGTTTGTTTGTTTTTGGGGGGGTAGTGGGGAAAGGAGACTAGCTTCTTAACCAGTGCTCTGGTTTTCATCTGTCCTTATGGCATGAGCATCAAGTGGTACTGGGAACTCTTGGCCACATCAGCCTTGATAGATTTTAGTGTTGTTAGAATGGCTCTTCTGGCTTCAAAAGAGAAATCCCCTGTGCTCATCTTCAAGGTTGTTCCTCTGCTTCGTGTCTGTATTGACCACATATGGCTGCTGCAGGACAACTGAAGTACTAATAGTGAAAGAGTTCAATAGTGTTGATTTTGAAACTGGAAAATCATGTAGGATGCTGCTTTGCTATGTTGAAATTGTAAGACAAATAGATGATCTGTAACCCACGATACAGATAGGAATTAACCTCATAATAGGCTGAGTCTCTTTTTCCTTTAGGTATACAGTCGGGTTTCTCATCTGAGAAATCAGCCAACGGTGGATTAAAAATATTTCGGGATGGGACCAGCAGTTAGTGTAATGGCTATGTCACTGGACTCCCACGTAGTCGACAGTGGTTCAAGTCCCGGACCTGGTGGCTTAAACTCACGCCAGGCGCGTGTGTGTGCGTGCCCAAGACCCTGCGAGGAGAATGGAGGAGAAGGGATTGCGGCGTGGCCATCCCCCCTGGAGGGTGATTTCTCGCTGTCTCTCTGTCTCTCTCTTTCTGTCTGGCAAGCGCATGTGCCCTATAGCAAAAACCTCTCCAAAAAAAAGAAAAATAAAATATTTGGGGAAAAAATTGTATGCATCTGTACTGAACATGTAAAGATGTTTTCCATGTCATTTCCCCCAAAGAACACAGTTTAACAGCTCTTTATGTATAATTTATATTGTATCACTTATTATAAGTAATTAGGGAGGATTTAAAGTATACAGGAGGATGTGTGTAGGTTATGTGCAGATACTATGCCATTTGATATAAGGGACGTGAGTATCCACAGATTTTGGTCTCCATGTGGGGTCCTGGAACTAATGCCCCATGGATTCTGAGGGACAGCTGTATATACAAAAGATATGTTGGAAGAAAACTTGAATTCCATAAATTAGTATAACGATAGAACAAAACAAAAAGAATCAGGCTGAATATGGCATAATTTTCATTGCAATTTACTTACTAATGAATTTAGTCAAAATGTTTTCCATCACAGCATTGCTACCTGCTGAATAACTCAGCTTCTTAACCTGTTCTGCTGTCTAAATTCGTGTCTCCAGTAAGGCACAAGGTGTATGCATCAAGTTCTACACAAATGAAAGGATACCGCCATGGATGTGATGACTTAAGAAGTTGCACGTCACCTCACTCAGACTGTTCTGCGTTTTCCATTCCAGGGCTCAGCAGATTCCTACACAAGCAGGCCATCTGACTCTGATGTCTCTTTGGAAGAGGACCGGGAAGCGATTCGGCAAGAGAGAGAACAGCAGGCAGCGATCCAGCTTGAAAGAGCAAAGGTGACTTCTTTCCCTCTCTTTGATTCAAAAGTTACATGTTCCTCCGTGCCTGTCGGCTGTTCCCCTATCTCATATTTCTCTGGAATCATCATTTCATGATCATCCTGATAGGGGTCCAGATTTCTAGGCTCTCATTCATTAGCTTCTAAGAGAGGTTAGTAACACCCCCATTTGTTGAGAGCCTTCACCCTTTTGGTTTGCTTCAATGCTGACTTCCTGGCCGTCTTCCAGTTTAGCAGTGTGGCCTCCTGAAGGACCAGCTTGCCTTGTCTGTTCCTGATCCCTCCTTACCCAGTACATTAGCCTTTATTATAGGCCATGTTCGCACTAGTGTCCTATACATCTCCCTGCTGGTTTCCCTACTCTCCTCTGTTTCAGTCTCTCCTACCTCAAGTGCAGTGTGAAGTCAGAACTTTGAACATCTCTGAGAAGTGTAGCAAAGACAAGTGATAAGAGTCATTTTTGCTAAGCCCTAGCTACGATAGTGTGCTGATTGGCACTGCTATGTAATAGGCTGAAGCCACGTGGCAGTGCAGGGTTCAATTCCCAGCCTGCCCTAAATGCTGCATGGTGGCACACACCCACAGTCTCAGCTACTTGGACGTCTGAGGAAGGAATATCGTGAGCTTGATGCTGATCTGGGTAACATAACAAGACCCTGACTAGCAAAGGCATGGTGGGTGGCATGCTTCTGTAGTATCAACCAGAAAGCTGAGGAAGGACGATCATGACAGTAAGACCCTGACAAAAAAAAAATATATATATATATACACACATACATATATACATATATGTACACATACACATACATATATACAATATATATATACATATATATGTATGTGTATATATATATATTTTTGACAGGGTATACATATTTAGCCAAAATAGACCTTTAGGCTAGCTGACAGGGTATATATATTTAGCCAAAATAGACCTTTAGGCTAGCTGTTGTGGCACGTGTTAATGCAATGCTCCACGATGCTGTGAAGGTCCTGCATGGGAAGGGTACATTCCCGTGTACACTGAGAACACACACACCCATAAATTGGGGTGCTGAGGCAGGGGGTAAGACCACAGCATAAAACCCTGATTGGGGTGGCTTTTTCTCTCTCCTGCTCTCATTCTGTCTTCCCTGCTTATGGAAGAAATAAATAAAAATAAGCTTAAAGTAATAGACATTTAGGGCTCAGCAGGTGGAAGATTAAGGTGCTGGATTCCTACATGGGCAACCATGGTTCGAGCCCCAGACACAGTGACTTGAAAATCATGCCAGACATGAGTGCATGCATGCCCAAAATCCCTAGAGGAAAGTGGAGAAGAAGGAACTGTGGTGTGACCATCTCCCCTGGGGGGTGATTTCTCATCTTCCCACTCTCTCTCTTTTTCTGGGGAGTACGTATGCCCTATGGCAAAAACCTTAAAAACAAAAACAAACAAACTAGACATTTCATGGAGAGAAGTCCCCATAGGAATCTCTGTACCCATAGGAGGCAGCAAGGAACAGATTACATAGTTGAATGAAATATGAATGTTAGCACCAGAGAGTCACTCAAGATCTCACATTCTTCCCACTCTCTGTCTTTTTCTGGGGAGTACGTATGCCCTATGGCAAAAACCTTAAAAACAAAAACAAACAAACTAGACATTTCATGGAGAGAAGTCCCCATAGGAATCTCTGTACCCATAGGAGGCAGCAAGGAACAGATTACATAGTTGAATGAAATATGAATGTTAGCACCAGAGAGTCACTCAAGATCTCACATTCTGGGACCAGCCGTTAGTGTAATGGCTATGTGGCTAGGCTCTCCAGGAGGCCCCATGGTTTGAGTCCTGGACCTGGTGGCTTAAACTCACGCCAGGTGTGTGTGCGTGTGTGCCCAAGATCCCGAGTGGAGAATGGAGGAGAAGGGATTGTGGTGTGGCCATCCCCTTTGGGGGGGTGATTTCTTGCTTTTTATGTCTCTCTCTTTCTCTCTGTCTTTCTGGCGAGTGCACGCGCCCTATAGCAAAAAAACAAACAAACAACAACAACAACAACAAACCTCTACAAAAAAAGAAGAAAAAAAAAGATCTCACATTCTGGCATTCTGTGTCTTTCCAACATTATTATTTTTTTTTTAGCACAGACTCCATTTTTTAAATGAAATGTTATGCACTATAGCAAACTATAAGATAGAGATCATACTCCTTGCCCTCCGTGCCAGGTTTGGAAGGTATATTGATCTAGTTTTTCTCAATTTTAGAAGAAAACTGAAGTCCAAATAAAATGAATTCTTTCCCTCTTCTGTTTTTACAATAAACTCTTCAAAAGAGAGGTGGGAGGAGACTGGTGTGAGTAAATGAGGTGTCTTCATTTCCTTTGACACCAACACCACCTGTGCTCCATTAGTGGAAGGGCTTGTGCCAGTGAAGGGACAAGAGTGACACTGTAAATTGATAACTGCCTCCACCATCTCTCCCCAGCCATGCTCCCAGAACGAATTTGCATCAGTCATAAACCAGCCCAGAATTTACAGAATCTTGTATCTTACTTGTAGCTGATTTTTTTTTTTTTGCGGGGGGGAGAGGTTTTTTCGCTATAGGGCACGTGCGCTTGCCAGACAGACAGAGAGAGACATAGAGACAGAAAGCGAGAAATCACCCCCCAGGGGGGATGGTCACGCCGCAATCCCTTCTCCATTCTCCTCTCGGGATCTTGGGCACGCACACACGCCTGGCGTGAGTTTTAAGCCACCGAGTCCGGGACGCGAACTGCAGTTGACTACATGGGAGTCCAGCGACATAGCCATTATGCTAACTGCTGGTTCCCACTTGTAGCTGATTTTTGTTTTAAAATATTCTTCAGAATCTCTTTTGTGGCCTTTATGGTCACTAAATGTCGGCGGGTCACCAGGAGTTGGGGCTGGCAGTTATTTTCCACTCCTCATGGCTGCACCAACCTAAAAGCACTTTGGGGAGGAATCTGTAAAACAAGTATTTCAGAAGCAACTTTTTTCCCCCCTAACTAGGAAGAGGATTGGAGAAGAACCCTGACTGTCAGGCTTAATCCTGACTGACCCTTCTTTCCCAGGGCAGGACATCTATTTTATTGTGTATGACTGCACAGGTTTTCAGATCTGAGGCTATTTCAAGAATACTTATTTTACTGCCTCCACCCAAATCTTTTTCTAAGTTTATTTATTTATTCTATGAGAAAAAACAAGACAGAAGGAGACAGCGCTCCAACCAGAGTTCCTGTGCTGTGATCCATCCCCAGCTACAACCAGCCATCCCAGACACCTAGGGAGGTCTCTGGACATGAACTCAGAACCTTCCTGTGTGAGTCAGCTCACAGAGTGTTGTGTTTTCCTGCTCTGCTACCACGTGGTCTCCCCAGTCTTTGTTTCTAAGACCCAATATTCACTTCCTATATCCTCGTCACTCAAAATTCACGCAGCTTTTATGACTGGAGGACAAAACAGGCTGCCTTCTCACTCCCGGTGCTGCCTATCCCTACCCAGTGCTTAAGGACACAAGCTTTCATATGGCATATTGGAAAGTAGCGCAGAGAGGGAAAATGGTTGGGCTGATAGGACTGGATCGTTTTCAGAGTCATCTCTGCAGATTTCTTGACACTACCTGGAAGTGTAAAACTGTTGGAAAATCGTCTTTGGAATGTGCATTTCCTCACTGCCTGTTACTATCGATCATCTTCTATGTTTCAATGTGAAAAATGCCCAGCTCTTTTCCTCCCTGCCTCACTCCCTATTCCATGTTCTATCCCCAGTCCAAGCCTGTAGCATTTGCTGTGAAGACAAACGTGAGCTACTGTGGTGCCCTGGACGAGGATGTGCCTGTTCCAAGCACAGCCATCTCCTTTGATGCTAAGGACTTCCTGCATATTAAAGAGGTAAATGTAGGACGCACTGTGTCCCTTACCCTGCCAAAGAGCCGAAGCTGAGGATTGGCTCTGAGCCAAACTCACTGGAGAGGAGACCCAAGGAGCTGTCAGGGCAGTGATTCTTTTCTTTGCTGGGCTTTCCAAATCCATTTCTTTTCTCTGAGATTCAAAGGCCTAAGATCATTACCTGCATTATTACACATTGAAAACATTGAATTGTAGTCAGCCTTTGAAATCGCAGGATAAATTCACGGCAACCCCGTGTCCTCTGGTCTCCTTTAATCACCTTATGTGGCCACAGAGTCATACATCTGTGGCTCCAATTTAGGGAACCATGAGTTTGTGGCATGGCACCTATCCAGAAAGGATTGTTTATAAGAAACATTGTAAGTATAGCTATCTGGGCAATAGTCCAGTGAACTTTGACCCTGTGCCAACTCTAGAGTGCATAATCATTAAAGGGAAGTGTTAAAGCTAAGAAAAGGGCATAGGACCCCGAGAACCAGAAAACTACAAGGAGGACTTGAGTCCTCGCATCTTGAAAGGTGAGATAGTGACATCAAAACTTTAATTTACTAACCTAGCTGTATGAAAATTCCACTTTGTATCAGACATTGTGTGGCAGTGGGGGATCAGACATAAGGACTTCTGTTCCCATTGGTAGGGAGCTCCTGGTCTAGTGAGAGTGACAGATGCATATACAGTTCCCATGAGATAACGAGTTCATTACAGAAAAATTAAAGAGGTGTTTTGTGAGCCTGAAGGAGGAGAAGAAGGGGCCATCTGGCTCCTCATCTCTTCATGATGGAGAAACGCCACAAAGTTGTAAAGTCATATGAAGTGATGAAGCCTGAGGGACTTCAGGCTGAGGTGTGGGTGGCATTGGGTAAAAGGAATAGCCCACAAGCAGTGTAGTGTGGCTAGAGGGCATAGTAGGAGTTGTTCAGGGCAGGGATCAGGTCATAGAGGCAGAAGGCAGACTGAATAAATAAATACACCTCATAACCCTCGCAAGAAGCCTGGACTTCATCGGGCAGTGGGCTGGAAAGAAATTTGAAATAAAGAATGGACGAGACCAGCCTTGTATTTTAAAAGGACAAGGGAGCATTGACCAAGAATGAGAGGCATGTTAAGAGTCAGAATAGTGGCCGTAGCAGAGAGATGGAGACAGGGAGCCACTTGAAGAGAGATCTAAGGGACAAATAGATTTGGAGATTTCAAATGGGCTAGAGTAGTTTCTGGCTTGCTTTAAATGGGTAGATGGTGATTTTTGGCTATTAAAACAGAGAAAGCAAAGAAGGGAACAGACTTGTTGCAGGGGTGAAAGTGGTTATGGACTATTAGGTACACTGTGTCTGGGGCATTGGGAAACTCCCCCTGAAGATGCTTAAAAGTTCCTTACTCATAGGGGTCGGCAGGTGGTGTGGTGGTTAAGGTGCTGGACACTCCCACATGGCCGACTGTGGTTCGAGTACCGGACCTGGTGACTTGCTTTCTCACTTTCCCTCTCTCTCTCTCTGTGTATCTCTCTCTGGTCAAATTAAAATAAGTGAATGAATAAATAAAATTAAATAAATAATTATAAAAAAAGATCCTTACTCATATACCTGAATCCAGGTGAGAAGAATTGTAATTCACTCTTTGTAAATGATTTTGAGTTGAAAAGGCTGAGTTATAGCAATATATTGGAAGATAGCATTGAGCTGAGGGAACATTTTAAAAATTTCACTTACATTTTGCTTTATAGAATGGGAAAGACTGAAGCATGTTTTCCTTGCCGAGATGCTGGATCCAGTAAGATGTATTAGAAAGAAGAGAGAGAGTTTGTAGAGTGAGAGGCGGAGAAGGGGAGGAGATGACATCTGAAGAATGGGCCACAACAATTAGGCCGAGTCAGTAGTAAAGTCTGACCTTCCTCAACTTCCTTGTTCTGCACAGAGTTTTCCAGTGGGGCTGAGAGTTTGTTTGAGGGTGCTCTCATTGATATTCTCTATTTGTTCTGCTAGGAGGGAAGTCTTAGGCTACAATCTTACAGAAAGGACAGAATGGAGGAGGAACAATAACGTGAGACCTGAGAACAGACCAAATGGCTGACATAAACATACCACTCAATGCCACTGAATCCAGTTGCATTTAACCCTTAGTCAAAATGGCACGCAATATATACAAAATGACACGCAAAATATGTAATATGCAATGTATTTTGTACATGCAAAATATATACTCAATTTTGAAAAAGATGAACTTTGACACTCTGCATTCTAAAGTCTAGATCAAAATAATGATATCAATGACACCAAATCACTTATATATTTTTCAACATTTTAAACTATTTGATTCAAAATAGGTCAAGCCTCTGAATGTCTGCAGATGCCTCACAGTCTACATGGTGCTCTGTACCCTGAGAGAGGGTCTTCATTTGCTTGTCTGCTTAGTCATTCCTTGACTATATTATCTTGAGTACTTGGTGTGTGCTTGGTACTGGCAGATGGCATCCGACAGCTGTAAACTAAGGAGACATGGCCCTTCCTCACATGACCTTAAATTGTAGTGGGGAGACTGAACAAATACACAAATGTATATTTTCAAATTGTGAACTATCTGAGGAAAAAATGGACCCAGTGCTGTGATTTTTAAAATATAGAAATAGGAATTATGTACTTTAAGTAGAAGTGCAAAGAAAGTTTGCCTGGGAGTGTGATCTTTAAGCATTGACCCAAAGAATGTGTAGCCAGCCTTAAGAAGAGTAAGGCAAGGCTATCTAGGGACAGAAAACAGCATGTGCGAAGGCCCCAAGATAGAAGAATAGTCTGACACCACCAGTTTACTAAATAAAGGACATATGGCCAGCATCTAGTGAGCCAGAGAACAGGAGGCAGAATCTCTGTAAATGAGTAAGGAGGATACAGATCAAGTCAGATATTAAGGTTATGGTGAGACTTCAGATTTTATACTAAATGTAAGGAGAAGCCCTCAAAGCTATTCTGATTGTTGTGGAGAGAGCAGGTTGAAATGGGGTAAGTGTGGAAGCAGCGGACCATTAGAACCAGTCTGAGTAAGAGATAATGGTACTAAGCCAGCATGGTGGCAGTAAGATGGAGAGAGGTGGACAGACTGGAGATATGTCATGGGAATTCAATGAGAGTTGCTAAGGGTCCAGGTGGGAACCAAGACTGAGGGTGAAATCAAGGATGTTTTAAGAGACCAGATTTATGAACTGAACAACTGGGGTGGGAATGACTAGAATGGCAGAGGACAAATGTAGAGGAAGGTTGGAGGAGGGAGGATCCTAAGGAGATGTCTAGAGGAAGATTAGATACGAGTCTGGAGCCCAGAGGAAAGTGTTGGGTCAAAGATATAAATTGGATCTTTTGTTTCTGATGTGGCACTTAAAGCTGTAGTAATGAGCAAAGTCACTTAAGGAGAGAGTAAAGGTGGGGACAGCAAATGACATAGCCATTATTTGCCGGACTCCCACATGGCGCACTGTGTGTGAGTCCTGGACTCGGGTGGCTTGAAACTCATGCCAGGAATGTGTGCACGCATTCCCAAGATCCCAGGAAGAGAAAAAAGAAGGGATTGTGGCATGGCCATCTGCCTGATGGGTGATTTTTTTTTACTTTCCCTCTCACTGTCTCTGTCTTTCTCTCCACTGAGCACATGTGCCTAAGGCAAAAACTGCTAACAAAAAGAGAGAGAGAGAGTAAGGGAGAAGAGAGGGCATTCCAAGATCTTATCCAGAGAAATTCCATCCTGTAGAGGTGGGATATGCCAAAATATCCAACAAATATGGAAGGTTCAACAAAGGAAAAGAACCCTGAATTATAGGAGGAAAACCAAGACAGAGCTGTGTGCAGATATCAGGGAGAACAGTATATCTGGAAAGAAAGGACAGTCAGGTGTCTGGCACAGGTAAATGTTGTTGATGTGCCACCTAAGGTGCAGAGAGGAATGGATGTTGAATTAGCAACCCAGTGATGACAGTGACACCAAAAACTTGATGTATATTTTTAACATTTTAAACTCTTTGATATCAAGTTGGTATGACATCTAAATGTCTACAGATCTATCTTTGCATGGTGCCCTTGTGACCTGAGTGAGGTTCTCCATTTGTTCGTTCACTTAGTCACTCATTGAATATATAGTACTTGGGATGCTGAGTGGCAGTTAGCACCACACAGGTCATTAAGATCGTTCTGGAGTTGTGGAGATGGAAGCTAAGTGAAGTGGGATGAAGAGAGAGGAGGAACTAAGACATATATTTAGCATGTGTAGACCATGCTTTCAAGGAGGTTGACACTGTCCTTGCAGTAGTCTGAGGAGGTATGAAGTTGAGGAGGTCTTTTTTAAAGATGGGAGCCATTGGAGCACCTGTACATGCTGATATTAAGCTGAGAGAGGAAGAGAGATTGATAGGAAAGGAGAGATAAACAAAGGATTAAGTTTTTGAGAAGGCAAGAAAGGCTGGATCCACACATCTAGTGGAAGAACAAACCTCTGATAGAAAGAAAAACACCTACTCATTGTAACATGCAGGAAAAAGAGGCATTGTGGGATATTCAGTGATAGAGATGGGACACCAAGACTTTTTTGCAGGAAAACAGCGATTTTTTTTTCATGTGCTAGCACTAACTCAGTGAGTTCACATCCAAAGGCTGAACCCCAAATTTCTTGGGGCTCTTCCTTTTATTTGTTTTAGTTTCTTTGTCTCCCATATATGGTCATACATACTTTTACATACTTTTGATTGGGTAAAAGACTGCTACAAAATTATGCAGGTATGTATTGGGCTACTAGGCGGTTAGATACACAGGCATACATAGAGTTGCTAGGTTACAATCAGGGCTACAAGGTCACTAAGAGTTGCTAAGTTGCTATGGTACAGGACCACAAGGTCACCACAGGCTGCACATGTGTACTTAAATTCTAAGCATGTCCCATTATCTTTCTTTGTCCTGGAAGCCCCCCCTCCCCACTTCCCCCTTTGATGCTCAGACTCTATTAGGGTC